CGAAATAACGTCTTGAAAACAGCTACGGTACTTTTGTATTACATCGGATCCACCCCGAGTCTTTAATTTACAGCTTATCGCTAGCTTTTTGCTCGTTTTTTTTTAATTCTAGCATTTGTTTCCGTGAGATCTGGCCGCGAGATTCATGTATTGGATTGCCAATTTACTGGCAATCCAATATACGATTACTATCAATTACTACTAAATTCGACGATATTGAATTTCAATGCCATTCACAGTGAAAACTTGTTTAACTCGTTATCGATCCGTTATCGTACCCATTTAACGTCGAGTACAGTTTGGTAATCGAATTCTATCTGACGAAAAATGATAATTACGTCGCATAAATTCAAATGAGCCTTTTTATCAGACCTGCGCGCGCGGCGTATTCGTCAAAAAGTTGGAGGAGCGCGATTATGTATCGCGCGCCGGGCGCGCGCATATCTGCCGATTTACACGCGCTGTAAACATCACCTGAGCCACGTTACGTACGGCACAATGTGGGACGCGTGTAATTGTGCCGAATACAAGTTACTGTTGTCGATAGACCATCGAGCCGAACAATGTGTACCGCCGAAACGCGACAGCGCTCTATGCGTTTAGGCGCGACGAGAGTGGGTGCAATTTCTGGCGTAGCGTGATTCACCCGTCATAAAACTCCGGCGCAAAAAGCGATCCTCTTTGGCTCCCCGGGATTAATGTGGCGTAAGTAATGCGTCTCCGATGGAACGTACGTACAAGGGGGCGGGGATCGCGGGATTATTCCGGCTCCTTTATCCCCGGCTCCTTCACCTTGGAACCTCGAAATAATACGACTCGCGATAAGTACGTGTTTCGTTACTCGTTGCCGCGCCGCACGCTGATTAAATTACTCCGAGATTGCGTTTCTACGCGTTATGATAAATCTGCGCCCCGAGAGCGCGCCTGGTAATTTTGTTAATTAACCTCGTAGGCAACATCGGCAGGATTAGATGAAGACAGTATCTAGGATTATCCTCCGAATGAAGACGCCGGTTGATTAGAGGATAAATTAGGAAGAGGCGGCGCATTAATGCGACACGCTGCGTTTATACGATACACAGGCGGCATTACGTTAAGAGATTACGTTAACTTTCTTGGCATCGAGTTAACGCACACGTCTGTTTTCTATCGATATAGAAAATCGATCTGGCTACTTAATGTTACCCCGGCGCAACGAACGGTTTTCCGTTACGAAAGTTACGCGGCAAAGCAGGCCGAAATTAACGATAAGTTATTATAATATGCTATTTCGTAGGCGGGCTGCGAGAGTTGTGGTACTTTAGAGCGCCAAAGTAAACTCGGCCCTGGTCCCAGGATCTTCCGTATCGGACCGACCAGAGTTTACTTCCAGAGTTCGGAGTTTCGTAATTTGCCGTTGGTGGGTCGGAGTCGTCGCATTATTGTGTACGCCGCAGTTGTAATAATCCCTGTCCTAATTACTACGCTACGATAAAATAGGAGTTCACTCTGGAATTGAAAACTCTTTGAGATGACGAGAGCCTTCTTGATTATATTCGCACAACTGACCCGCGCTCTCTGTCTCTCTGTCTCTCTCTCTCTCTTTCTCGTTGTTCGTCGGCTGTCGTTCGCGCCTCCCTTATTTAATGGTAAAAATGTTAAACGCGGAAAACTAAACTCTCGTCGTGGCGCGCGATGAACAGTGAAATGCTTTTTTGCACGACCGTGCGCCGTGAGTTTGCGAATAAATGCATGCGGACAAACGTGACTTCCGAACGCCCCGTGGACTCGCACGCATTTTTCTAATGATAATGCGAGAACTTGTTCGCGCAGAAGAATGCCGCGCGATGAAAACCCCCCGCATATCACGCTGCCGTAATGCACTTGTTAGTATGCGCCATGCTTTCCAGGCGGTTTGCACTTGGTCGAATTTATGAGACTGTCGGTGGTTTACGGCAATGGGGGTAGCAATTGATTTGAATATCGAGTTTTCTTAATCGTCCCGTCGCGGCACCAAGACCGGCGAAATCTCCTCGACGATCGCAATAGCGATCGAGGAGAATACTTTCAATATCGCGGCGCATAAAGTACATCATGAATTATTTCCTACCACTATTTAATTCACTGCACTTCCATTTGGAGTCGCGAATTGATTTCCCGTATTTTTCAACCGCGATATGAAGTTCAAACAGCGCGATTCATCTTTTTCAAATTTATCTTGCCCGCCATAAATAATCATGCGTGCCTACTTCTTTGCTGATATCGCCGCGTACGCCGTCTACATTTTATTAACTTACGCCGTCGTCTCGCGGTTGTAGTCTAAATACAGATTTTATTTCGCGTTAACAATTTATTCTCTCTTTCCATCGCGGCCACATGCCACGACGACGGAAGAAGTATTTATGCATGCAGCATTAAAATTTAGAGAAATGTAAAACCCGAGAAATCAGTTTCGTGTACAATTAAAAGCGGAAACGGATGCCGTCACGTGTTAATTGTTACTCAATTTTGTGCCATTATTAAGAGCGTTACTTTCAAGCGACGGACTCAATGAAAATGTTATTTCTTATTCAAGCCGATTCTATTCTAGGCTAATTGAACTTAGTTAAATTATATCGGTACAAGCCATCGCAAGAATCTGCTACGCTCTGATTTGTAGCTTTCGGACCCCTTTCTAATTTTCCTTGAGCGTTGGGTGCTGATCCTTCGACGCACAAATTAATTCCACTATATATAATAGTCCCAAAGCTTTCGCGCGCTTTTACTGCATGAGTCGTTACGTTTAATTTCCGAGGGCGTCGCGTCACGATCCTGTTGAACCGTTCCTTCATCTCCTGCTATTATAGCAGCCGAGAGAACCGATTCACTCGACTCGGTAGAAACAGTCACAGCTGCGCCGACAGCTCTCTACCGTATCTCTCGTTTGCCAGTTGCACACTTTGCATTATTTCCCCGCTCTTTTTCCCCTCCCACGAAATGCATATTATCCGGCGTGCTTATCCGGCCGATTGCTTTCGCGTTTTCAATCATTTCTAAATTCTTTTGTCTTTCTCCTTCTCTCTTGTATCCTCCCCCCTTACTCTCTTCTCTCCCGAGCGAACCTACGTACAGAGAGACTGGTATATCTCGCCAAGTTTAATAAAAGCGGAGGAGAGCGACGCTGTTTTTATCTCGCGATGCGGATGTGGATTCGCGTAACAGTGAATTTTTGGTACCTGCGTCCGTGGTGTTGCAGTCAGCGCGGCTGGAATTGCAACGGGTATCGAATCATAATCGGATGAGGGACGTAACTCGCGATTAACGAACACGAAAATTGGCACGGATGAAGAGCGCTTTTCGAATATTGTCAACGGATTGCAACGCTGTTCGCTCGATTTCGCGCGGACACGGGTGCGGCAATAACATACGGAATGTCGGACGGCTGAATTTATTCCCGTTATGAATTCGTTGCGCGATTCATTTCGACGGTATGATCCGTACGGCATATTTTATACAGTAATCGAATTACGGATTCCGATTTCCGCCCCTTTGCTCCGCAATGCATCGCGAAGCTAACTCGCGAGACTCGCAGCCAACGATGCATCTTGCATTGTGAAGAATGGCAGCGGTATCAGAACCGAATCATCAATGATGCACGGCTCTTTTCCCCCGTCACATCGCTGCGCTTTGGCGTACTGCCAATCTCCATTGCCGCGGCGCTCCTTTCTCGCGAACCTTCGCAGCAATTTTCCGTCCTTGCGATCGCGATATATGTCGGGGACGCGACAAACTCCACTGCTGCGCTCCTTTCGAGATTCCGCTACCATCAATGATTTAAAGACCGTATCATTAATATCCCTAAAGTTTCCGAAAAAGACTGAGCGTATCGTGGAATGTATCGCTATAACCGAAAAGATGTCTGTTTCTCTGGCTCTCTTTAATCGCGTCGTATTGATTTGCGAACAAAGAATTGACACGATGAATTGTGTTTTTAAAGAATTTCAGGGCAATAAGTTAAAAAGCTTTAACGCGAGAATGACATGTTTATCGCTGATTATATTTTAGACGGTATTAGAAATTAATTGAATGCGAGATATTTGTTGCCGATACACATTTGATCGATATCCCGGCGAAATTTACATACGTGGAAGTACGTGTGACACAAATTCGACCTAAACTCGACCGTAAGGCTTCGCATAAATCAGTATTATCTCGCATTAATGCGCTACCAGTGCGGCGGTAGTGTTCATAGATTCGCTTGTAATGAACACGCTACGCATTCTGTCCGTTAATCCACGTAAAGAATATCTTATCTGCTCCGTGAGTCGATACGTCGTACCGCGGTAAATTTATATTAAATCTACATACATGCATTATTCCGTTCATAGCTACGCTGAGAGACCCATTTTGTCGAATGAAACGAAATAATTTGATTGAATCGTTTTGTTGACCGAACGTGTAATTTGGTTGTACAAAACGAAAAGTATGTTGCTGAAAAGAAGCTAAATGTACAACTGAATATTTTGTTTCCGTGAGTTGTTTATTTGAACAAAATTTTATGATTGAGATAACGAATTCGTTCATCTCAAAGTACGGTATTCCGCCGCTAGATGGTCGCCGAACTCGCAAGTGAGATCACGATAGTCCGGCATCCAAGGTACACCCCGTCACGGGCCGGACGGTTCTTTCGGTTCTTTCGCGACAATCAGCAGAATAAGCGAAACTGCACCGAGAGATCCATTTTGTTGAATGAAACGAAACAATGTGATTGAACCATTTTGTCGACTGGATCGTTTAGTGGAATATTATAAAAGGATTCTGTGCATGTTCACTCAACCAAATTTGTGCGTTAGCATAACCAAATTTTACAACTAAAATTTTTTGTATCAACTGAAAGATTTGTTCGTCCATATCCAAACAAGAAATTCAGTTGAGTCAACAAAATTTTGTTTCATTCAACAAAATGGGTCTCTCAGTGTATGCGTACGTATCTTTATCTTATAATTAAATACTCGAGCTATAATTTTTTTTCCCTCTTTCAGATATTACTGCAAGCTGCGAAGTTTCCCGGAAGTTCTCTTCCAGTGCACGGACGCAGAAAGTAAGACACACATTATATACCCCGTATAAAACCGTATTTTTTGCAGTTTAATAACGAGTTAAAAAACTCGCATATATTATTAATGGAGAAGCTAGTAGCAGCCCCGGCGTTCTTACGCGGCGGAGGCTGCGAGCTTCCGCATTGAGCCATTTGGCGCGCTAAAGATACTTTAGTCGAAAATACCTCCGCGCGATCCGATACTCGCGCTGCTTGATATATATCGATGGCTATATATTTATCCAGCAAATTTTTTACAAGGCTATGTAATGTACGCGTCTCTGGCGCAGGGCAGCTTCCGCTTCTCGGTCCGGCGAAATAAATATTGGCTTTCGGCGACAAACGGGAGATACGCCGTCAATTCGAGTATCTATCGAACAATATTTATTTAGAGTATCGATTTTATTGTAGAATATTGGCTTTCTCGGCGGTAGCGATCGGATTTTACAGACTCGCTTCCTCTCCTCCCTCTTCTCCGCGTCGCTGCCGTTCACCAACTTCCTTCGCTTTTCTGAGAACCATATACGCGATGCATAGTTATTAATATTACACGGCGACAGGGAAGTTCCCCGATACGATAGCGGGTGATATTCGTAAGATCGGTTATACGCTCGCGGCACGTTACATGGAGCATTCTCGATACGATGCTCATGCGGACGGGCGCGTGGTTCGTGTGAATTGAAACGTGAGAGAACGATAGTCAGTCATTGGGAGTTGTTTCTCGTTACCAGCATCTCGGCGCCTGTAAAATCAAACACCCAGATCCCGTGCGGCGCTGAAATCGGCGCTTAAATCAACGCTCTTCTAATGGCACGGCGGCATTTCACGGTGTACGTAGTTTTGTAGTCTACAATCCCGGCCTGTTTACTCTCAGTCGGTCTACTTTGTTACTGACAGTTCAACATGTACCGCAACTACACACCTATTGTACGTGTATCATTCGAACGTGTCTGGCGCAACATTTTCCCCGGGCTTGATGCTCCGTACGTGCGCCGCTCGCTCCGCAGTAAAGTCAACCGTGTTTTCTACCGTCCTGTAACATCACCGGCGGCAATATAGAAAGGCATCGAACGGGCGATATTTCACTGTCTCGCTGCGCTTTTAATTAACAATATTCATACGTACAACGGGAACAATTTAGTTTGACTTATAGCGCGTCGTATCGCTATACAGGGTGTCTTTCCATATCCGACAAAATTTTTGAGAAGGTAGAACGGATCGAGATGAACGGAAAAGTCCTGTACCATTTTGCAATTTTCGTAATAGTTAACGAGTAATTAATTATTAAAAATCGTTGTCTTAGGCCGCCAAATTCGAGCGCGTGGCAAGATGTGCGCATAGCAATATCGATCGCCGGGGGGCGGTCACATCTTGCCACGCGCTCGAATTTGGCGGTAGGCCGGCCTAAGACAACGATTTTT